TTTATTTTTATTAATGTTTGCATGCAATGTCCTTTTCCATCCTTTTACTTTCAGCTTGCCTACATCATTTGAAGTGAGTTTCTGCTAAATAGCATAGAGTTGATTTATTTTTTATTTTTATTTTTTATAAATTATATATTTTATTATTTTTTAAAGATTTTATTTATTTATTTATCTTTAGAGCGGAAGAGAAGGAAAGAGGGAAAGAAACATCAATGTACGGTTGCCTTTCGTGGGTCCCCTGCTGGAAACTGGCCTGCAGGGAACCAGCCTGCAACCCTGGCATGTGCCCTGACTGGGAATCGAACCGCGACTGTCTGGTTCGCAGGCCTGCGCTCAATCCACTGAGCTATACCAGCCAGGGCTGATTTATGTTTTTTAATCCACTCTGTCAATCTCTATCTTCTCTTGGCTGTATTTAAGCCATTACAATTAATGTAATCACTGATATGTTAGGGTTTAAATCTGTCATCTTAGTTTTTGTTTTCTGTTTTTAATGTTTATATTTTATTCCTCCCAACTTCCTGTGGACTACTTGAATTTCTTTTTTTAGAACTTCATTTTGATTTATCTATAGTGTTTTTGAGTGTACCTCTCTGTACAACTTTTTAAATGGTTGCTCGAGTATTGTATTATACACAGTTATCCCAGTTTTCTGGTCTTGTCATTTCACTTGTTCAAGCCAGACATAGAAACTGTGCCTCCTTTTACGTCCCTTTGCCATCCTCTATAATTATCTTACATATTTCCTCTACATATACTAAGAAACACACCAGATGGTACAATATTATAATTTTTACTTCAACCATCAAAGATAACTTAGGAAACTCAAGAGGAAAAGGAGAATCTTACATTTACCTGTATCTTCGTTTACTGTGTTTTTTTCTTTCCCAGTATTCTGAGGTTTTGGGTTTTTTTTTATTGCTTCCTTTCTGTTTAGAGAACTTCCTTTAGCTATTCTTTTAAGGTACATATGTAGGCAACAAATTCTCTTGGTCTTCTTTCACCAGAGAATGTCTTTATGTCCCATCCCACAAGATACTAATTACGAAAAGAAAGAAAGTAACTTGACAGTGGAGAAGCCTATCAGATGCCACCTTACCAAAGATCAAAGTTAACATCACCCATAATAAGATGTATTACTCACCATCATAGTGGCATTCTTTTTTTTTTTTTTTTTAATCCTCACCAGGAGATATTTTGTCATTGCTTTTTAGAGAGAGAGGGAGGGAGGGAGAGAAACACCAATTGGAGAGAAAAGCATTGATTGGTTGCCTCCCATATGTGCCTGAACTGGGGACCAAATGAACCCACAACCTAGGCATATGCCCTGACCAGGACAGGGCTCCAACAAGCTGAGCCGCACTGGCCAGGGCTAGTGGTATTCTTGCATGTCACTTCACTCTTGAGAAAATACCAGACAAATTGAAATTAAGGGATATTCTACAAAGTAGCTGACCGATACTGTTCAAGAATGTTCAGGTCATAAAAAGCAGAGACTGAAGAAGGTATTACAGATTTGAGGACACATGACAACTAAATGCAATATGGAATTTTGGATTGGATTCTGGACCAGAAAACAGGCCTTAGTTGGGACTATTGGCAGAATTTGAATGAAGTCTGTAGATTAGTGAATAGTATTATATCAGTGTTCATGTTCTGGTTGGATGATTATACTGTGGTTATGTAAAAAGATGACATCAGGAGGAAGAGGGTGAAGGGGATATAGGAACTCCTCTATTTTTGTGAACTTTCTTTAAGTTCAGAATAATTTCAGAGAAAAAGTTATGTTTTCGACTATTTTTATACACTGCACATTAATTAGGTAAAACAAGGGCTTCCAATTCATTTTGCTTGGATAACAGTCTTCTTTTTAAGCAAGAAACTCCTTTTTTTTTTTTTTTTGAGAAACTCCTAATTTTTTAAGAATTAAACACATTAAGCAGAACATTTCTACACAGTCTTTCTGCGTTGACGCAATACGCTTCCTTCCTGTACTGAAGCCTGAATACAATTTCGGAGAGAGACTTCTGTTTCTTTATTAAGACTTTGTGATCACATATAATTCCTGTATTTACCAGACAGTGAATTTTATTTATTTATTTATTTATTTAAAGTGTATTTTATTGATCATGCTATTACAGTTTTCCCAATTCCCCCCCTTATCCCCTCTCTGCCCTGTACCTTCCAAGCCTCCAGCATCCCCCCCTTAGTTCATGCCCATGGGTTGTACATACAAGTTCTGTGAGTCCTCTGTTTCCTGTACCATTTTTTTACCTCTCCCCGTCTATTTTACACAATTATACCTCTTCCCTGTACCTTCCCCCACATTACTGCCCTCCCCCTCCCCACTGAAATCCCTCCATGTGTGTCCATTCCTTTGATTTGGTTCCTGTTCTAGTTGTTTGCTTAGTTTTTGTTTTAGTTGTTTTTCTTTTTTTTTTAAGATTCACTTATTGAGAGTTGTGAGTTTGTTGTCAGTTTACTGTTCATATTTTTTTATTTAATTGTTGTTCAAGTACAGTTTTCTGTCTTTTGCTCCCATCCCAGCCTATCCCCCACCCCAGTGTTCCCCACCTCCCTCTCCATTTCCACCCCTCTTAGTTTTTGTCCATGTGTCTTTTATACTAGTTCCTGTAAATCCTTCCCCTTTTTCCCTTGAAATTCCCTCCCCCCTCCCCTCTGGTCATTGTCTGCCTGTTCTCTACTGTTCGTATTTTTAACTTCTGCAATTTCTTAGATAAATCCCTTTAGTATTTTATATAATAAGGGCTTGGTAATGATGAACTCCTTTAATTTGATCTTATCTGGGAAGCACTTTATCTGCTCTTCCAGTATAAATGATAGCTTTGCTGGATGGAGCAATCCTAGATGTAGGTCCTTGCCTTTCATGACTTTGAATACTTCTTTCCAGCCCCTTCTTGCCTGCAGGGTTTCTTTTGAGAAATCAACTGATAGTCTGATGGGAACTCCTTTGTGGGTAATTCTTTCCTTTCCTCTTGCTGCTTTTAAGATTCTCTCTTTATCTTTAATCTTGTGTAACTTAATGATGATGTGCCTTCGTGTGTTCCTCTTTGGGTCCAACTTCTTTGGGACTCTCTGGGCTTCCTGGACTTCCTGGAAGTCTATTTCCTTTGCCAGACTGGGGAAGTTTTCCTTCATTATGTGTTCAAATACGTTTTCAATTTCTTGCTGTTGTTCTTCTTCTGGCACCCCTATAATTCAGATGTTGGAATGTTAAAAGTTGTCGCAAAGATTCCTAAGCTTCTCTTCATTTTTTTTGAATTCTTGTTTCTTCATTCTGTTCCATTTTGATGTTTATGTCTTCCTTTTGTTCCAGATCATTGACTTGAGTCCTGGTTCTTTCATGTCACTATTGGTTCCCTGAACATTTTGCTTTATCTCACTTTGGCTTTCATTTGTTCTTTCATTTTTTGACCAAGGTCAATCAGTTCTGTGAGCATTTTGATTACCAGGGCTTTAAATTTTTCCTTGGATAGTTTGGCTATCTCCTCATCACTTAGACCTGTTTCCAAAGTTTTGATCTGTTCTTTCATTTGGGCCCTATTTCTTTGTCTTGGCACACCCTTAAGTTGTGAGGAGGTGGGGCCTTAGGTATTCACCAGGGCAGGGCAAACCTCCCTGCTCGCTGTGGCGCTGCCTGTGGGGGAGGGGCCTGTGAGGGAACAGTGTGAGACTGGGAGTTTCTCCCGCCGTGGCAACCCCTGCGTAGTCAGTCCACAGTCATCTCTGAGTCTCAGTTTCCTGTCCAGCCAGCCCCGCCTGCACAGTCTGCCGCCTTGCTGTGGGTTCTCTGCCTCCGTCTTACCAGTCTGGCTGGTCTCGTTCACTCTTTCTTTAACTCCTTGGTGGTCAGAGTTCCATGCAGTTTGATTTTCTGGCTGTTCTGGTTGTTTATTGATTTTAGATTGGTCATTATCCTCCTTTTGGTTGTGTGAGGAAGCGAAGGGTTTCTACCTATGCCTCCATCTTGGTCAGGACTTTAGATAGTGAATTTTAAATATCTTCTAGAAAATAGTTTATTCATTCAACATAATTTTAATGAGCATTTATGTGTCAAGCACTGTTCTGGGTACTGAAGACAAATGAGTAAACAAGACAGGAAAAAAATCTCTCCTTTCATGAAGCTTAAATTCTTTTGGAAGGATATAGATGACAGATCCGCATATTTTTGAAGTATGTTTATAGTACAGGAGAAAAGGTAAAGCAGGAGAAGGCGAGTGCCAGGACTTGGGGCGGGGGAGGTACTTTCTTCACCGTGTCTTCTGAAGTGGCACTCATTGCATTCTCTGCCCCATCTTTTTATCTTTTATCTTTTTCAAGACATAACGGTTTGATATTATATGCATAAAATATTTATGATCTCTCTCTCCTAGAATGTAAGCTCCATGTGAACAAGGGCTTTTTTTGTTTGCTTAAAGGTAAAGAACAATGCCTGACTTACAGCCAGCCCTCAGTAAATACCCCTTGAAAGAATTCTTCCTCAAATGTTCACTCATATCCTCCTAGTTTAATTCCTTGCATTGAGTGTGGGAATTAGTAAATATTTATTGATTTCAGTAATATCCAGATGCACATTATATATGAGTCCATTTTGCTAAGTGGCTTATTTGAGCGTTTTGTGCCTTCCCGGGGCGAGAACGAAAGATGGACCCCCCGCAGGTCCCGGGAATGCATCTTAGTTGCCCGTCACCGTGAGGAATCCGTCTAGCCTGTTTGCAAGGGAGTCAGCCAGTTATTCCTCCATTTAAATATGATTCAAAATGCTTTTTCTTTTGAAAAATGAGAGACATAAAAGGAAAAAAATCTATTTCCCTTATTTAGCCGAATGCCTTGTTGTTACATAATTTTATCTGTAGATGAAAAATCCCCTTATTCCACTCTCATTATTTTTACTCTGTGGCCTGTTACAGTTTTATAGTAGAAATCTATTTCTTTTCTTATAACCCTAATCATCTTTCCTTTTATATTTTGAACAGTGTTATTTACTCGTCTACTACACTGGCTGGCGGAATGTCAAATCTTTTTTGACTTTTGGCTTAATCTGTCTATGCAACATGTATCTCTATGAACTTCGCAACCTCTGGCAGCTTTTCTTTCACGTGACCGTGGGAGCCTTTGTTACGCTACAGATCTGGCTAAGGCAAGCCCAGGGTAAGGCTCCTGATTACGACGTCTGACACCATCCTTCAGACCTACTGCCTCGGCTTCGGGAGAGAAAGGCAGGAGGACTCTTAACTGCCACCGTGATGGAGAACCTGGTCACCACAAACAAGAAGCTCTGCTTTGCTTCTCTCCGACCGCACTTTTTGTTTTAAGTCCGCATGGCATGCCGGCGAGCACGCAATGCCTGCTGGGCAAACTCCTCTCAGAAGAACGTCGGCCATGAGATGACTGTTCAGAGGAGGGGAGAGGACCCATCGCAGAGCCGTAACGGTGTGAGAATGGCCAGACGGCACTGGGACCCTGGCCAGTATGCCAGTCCTGAACCCTCGCTGAAGCGTTCAGTCCAAATATGTGTCCGTCTTCTGTGGACCAGGCAGGGACTCCACGACCTGGGTTTGCCTTTGTGAGGCATTAGTATAGACCAAATAAAAAGGTGCCACAGCAAATTGGAAACTTTATGTTTCAAACAACCGACTTGCTACATGTAAGATTTTTGCCCATATATGGTACTATGAGTTTATGAAGTCCAGGATGGTGCGGAATTGTTCTTTTGTATTTTATATTTTTGCTTGAATTTGAACTCTGGGAATGGCCTGATTGTAGGAGAGGCTGTGGCGAACTCACCCCTGGAGCATCCCAAGTATTGAAAATACAGTGACATGTCTCCTTTCTAGATTACATTGGTGGTTTCTTTTGAAATCTCTTTTTAAAAATACAATTTGTTAGACTATAGTCATTGTTTCCAAAACTTTAATCATTTGAATATTACATGTAACATTATTTACTTAATTTTTTTTAATTTTAAAATAATTTAAAAAAACATCCACTACTCCAAGTGGAAAACCAGGATCAGTTTCCCATAAATAAAAGGTAACTACAAAGTAAATAAATTAAAACAAAAAAAATATGTTAACTAAATTCTAGCTAGATGCTAGTGCCTGCCGAGCCTCTGAGTCTGAGAGGCCTGCCCCGTCCTCCGTGGGGTGAGAGAGATGCTGCCCGGCGCTGTGGCGGGCGCTGTCTGTGGGACTGTGGGAGGGTGGGAAAGTGGTCAGGAATGGCTCCTCTCTGTCGCTGCGGTTCAGTATTACTTCGTGCAGTGTTGTGGGCCACCTGACGTCACCTTGTGTGCCCCAGGGGTGGGGGCCTTGCACCATGGAAACACTGAACTGTACTGAGCCATCAGAAGGTGGCTTTCCTCCCAGCAACTCATTATTTTATGGCATTGGGGGGGGTAAGTACCTAGTATCTTCGAGCTCTTACTTGCTTTTGATAACATTATAAAATTACTAAAGGAGTTATGAGTGAATATAGGAAGAACAGTTTGATTCCATTAGCAAAATCTACAACTTCCTTGGTTTTAGAAGTCATCTTCCTGAGTGATTTTCTTTTGTTTTTTAAAGAAAAGATTCCAAACAAAGAGTCCAGAAGGTACTAAAGTTTCACATCCAGAAAAACAGTAGGCCCATCACATGTAACTCATGTTATTTGGCACATTTACTAAGTAGAAGAACTGGTCCACAGGGTAAAGGCACTGAACTGCCATGTTTGCCCACCTCGTTATAGTGATGTGGCTGCATCCGCATCTGCCTGACCAGAGCTCTTGCACGTCACTCTCTTTTTAGGAGGACGAGGCAAAAGGAAGGCAACGAGCTAATGATATCAGGGATTTACTTAAAACAGGAAACTCTAATTCACTCTAGTTGTCCACCTCTAACAGAACGGCACAGAAATTATGTATGTTCCAAGAGACACCCCCACATACCTCATGATCCTAAATTATCAAAATAAAATTGATTTGTGTTTGGCATTTTGCACTGACCGAGCCAGGAGAGTGAAATGGTTCAACTTGGAAAGGTTTTTCTAAACTAAAGCTTAAAACAAGACTAGTTTTAAGTAAATAGCATAAAGGAAGTTGGAGCATTCTGGTTAACTGTGACTTTGCTATGTATATTGATATTTCATAGCTCAGTTTAGTTCATTTGGCTCTCCTTATCATTGAATTATTGATTTATAATATTTGATGTTTGGATTCATTCAGCAAGGACCCTTGGAAACTCACCAGCATCTTTAAAGGCTTAACTTGTTTTTTGTTTTATTTTTTCACCAGCTATTTTGGATAAGAGGATGTTTGCATCTCAATGTAAAAACAATGAAAACAGGTATAAATAATGTTTTATGTACAGAAATGCTTCCTTTCATTATTTGGTGCCTGCATCTCTGAGTCCATGGGTGACATCCCGGCCTTCGTCATGTTGTTGTAGCAAAGAAACCGAACTTGGAAAGAAGTTCTTGTCATGGGTGAAGGGAAGGCCTTACTCTCCTGAGAAAGAGTCACTTAACCCTCTCATGTGTGTGATAGCAGTATGTTGCGTTTCTACCACACTTTCACTTCTAAGAGCAGGTCTGCGTTTACTTAAAGATAAGGAGTTTTGAGGAACAGAGGAAGTGGTAGCTGCCCTCCTGTCACGGAGGAGCAAACGAAGGGCTCGGTTGTTAGTGGTTTATTGAGGGTCTCTGAGCTACACTCAACTTCTAATCTCAGCCAAGAGCTCTAATGAACACTAATGAAGAAACTAAAATTATTGTATATTCAGGGAATATGCCTATTCTTGGTAAAATCAGGGAATTGGGGATTTCATGAGCACAGGGCTGTTATCGTCAAATCCAGGTATTCGTTACCTGAAGGCAGTCCTGAAATACTGAATTTTGATTAAGGTGTGCTGTAAAAGCAAAGATACCTTCTTTTATATCCTGAAAGTAGTTGCAATGTTTGCTTCTTTCTTTTTTGGTCTGTATTTGAAATGTATTTATACCTGGCCTCTTCCCTAAAAGAATGCAAAGCAGCGTACCAGGAAAAGGTATATAAAATAATGGCCATACAAGAAGAATAGAAAGGGGAGAAAATCAAGACCAGTGAAAACGGAAGGAAGGGTGAACACGTCACTGTTATCAGGTGTGAAATTTGACTGTCGAACTCCCCGGAAGCCAAGGCTAGAAGGGAAACAAATCTCCGCTGCTCTAACTGTGGGTCAGAGCGCACTAGTTCCCCGGGGGACTCTGCTTCCTGATGAATTCTGGTAAGAATGTTCACACCTGGCGATCTAAGCAATGCTAAAATGAGCAAAACCCTCAGTTGTTTATGCATATTTGCATGTTACGTTTGTGCCTCGAATCCTCAACTTGTACCAGCTTTCTAAGACTTTCAGAGTGTGTGTGGGGGGGCTAATAGAAGATTTTGTTCTCCTAAGTAAGAATTCTTATCCTAAACTGAGAACAAGTGTCATGTTAGAGCTCGAAAATCCATTTGAGACAAACACCTGGAGGCTGCGCTGTCCTCTGACCGTCTCTCTCACAGTGGAATCTCGCCCGGATAAATGCCCGGCCCCTTCCCTCTCAGGCCACATCTGGAATCTCGTTAGAGTCCTGGTTTGTCAGGGCTCCGCCGAGACCAGATTTACCACAGGAGCCTTAACCTCCGTGTCACAGGCGTGCTTCCTCCTGACGGTAGCTGCCCCCCGGAAAGGCCGTTGCTTGGCCTTTATTCCAGAACGTTTCCTAAGTAACCCAAGGGCCCACTCTGAGCTGCTAGACTTCCGAGAGAGAGAGAGTGAGTGTGTGTGTGTGTGTGTGTGTGTGTGTTTATCTACTCATTATTAACATTTTTATTCACTTTAAGAGTTAGAGTTATCACGGAGTACGTGGTAAAAGTGCAAATAAATTATTCCAAAAGCAGCCACCTCTCAGACAAAATTGAACCCTTAGCCTTACCACAAATTATAGGTCACTCTTTGGGGCTGCACTGTCTATGGTCAAGCCTTTATTTGTATTTTTTTTTTTTTGCTTTATTATCTCTAAAGTAGAGTCTTTCTACCTAAAAATGCTGCAGTAAAATTGAACCTGATTTTTGGGTTAAACTGGCTTTAGTAATAATCTTGGCTAAAAGTTAAAAGAAACCACTCCAACTCCAGAAGTTGTAAATGAGTCTGTGTATAAAGGCTGTATCAGCTGAGAATTCAACTCTGCTGGTATTACTGATTAGGCCTAGAGGGGCTGACACCTTCATCAGTGTTCTGGGGCAGCATTGCATGCGGGCATACGGATGCCTCCTGTTTGAGCGTTGGAGCTTTCAGAAAGAAGCAGTAAGTGTGGCTACCACTCTCGTAATATCTCCTCCTTGAGTGGCCAGACTTTCTGGGTTGCTCTCCTTAGCAGATGAGATCACAGCGTGGGAGCACAGCACGGCTTCCAGCCGTGCGGTTTGCATCCCCCTGGCTCATTAGGAGAGAATGGTGTTGACATGTGTGCGCATGTCGCCGCAATGCTGGTGATGAACAGTCTGAACACAACTGGAGGCTGTGGGAGCTCAAGGAGAGAACGGGCTTAGTTCTCAGTGTTCCTGAAATCAGTACCCTAGTCTTACAAATTGTTCGTGGTGTTTCCTTGGCAACAAATGGTATTTCCAGCCCAGCCTTACCCATGGCTCCCATTTGCCCTATCTCCCACATCCCAGAACCCAGCAATTTGAGCGGCGCCCAGCAGAATGCGTGTTGAGGCTCCAGCCGACAGAAACTGGGGTCCTGTTCCCCGTTTCCCATGTCGCTGGCAGCCCTTCCCCAGCCCTGCCTTGGTCGCTCGTCTGCTTTGTGCCCACGCTCTTCTTTGCGGGAGGTTGTCAGGGACTTTGCCTAAATGTGAACACACACTGCTTTGCTCTCTCACTTTCAATTCCTCCAGCGCCAAGGACTGATGACAAGAATGCTTGTTAGCGCCTTTTGTGGGCCCGTGCGGTTCCTCCTCTGCAGCTCATCCTAATGGCAGGAAGGCGGTGTAGCTCTCGTTCTCACTTGGGGAAACAAAGACTCACATTCAAGCCCAGGATTCAAGTTTAAATGATTCAAAAGTTGGTGCTCATTTTCTGCGCCATGGAGACTTTAAGAATGGAAACTGTGTCTGTGTGACTGACGACCACTGGGGCTCCGACAGTTACTGCAGCAGTGCGAGCAGACAGCTGACGTGAAGGGAAGTGGCTCCGTGCATGTAAGCGTGTCATACCCACAGAAGGGGTTTCGAAGGCTTTTTCTGTTGCGTAAACGAAGCAGCTGAGGCCTGAAGTAGTTAAGGAACTGGCCACAGTCACAGTCGAGCATAAGTGGCAGCACCAGGATTTCAGTCCAGATCGGTCTCACTCAGAACTTATGCTCTTGACCACCATGTCATATCAAGCTAGGCAACGTGGAAATACGTTAAAACATTTAAGGCATAGGTGTTGAGATATGTACACATTTTTAATGAAAGAGATCAGGTCAGTGCTAACTCCTGCATTGGAGGTGTCCTAAACTGAATAAAATAACTTCCTAAACTTCCTGCATCTATGGCCGTGACAGGACGGATGGCCCAAGAAATACGGTGAACCGTGTGTCTTAGATTTTAAGGCAAGAAGGTACACAGTTTAGTCTTCATAGTAAAACTGACTGACGAACTAATGATTCTTGATATAGAATGTTAAGGCTTCACTGGTGAGTCATGGGTTACAAACATTTACTTTTTCTCACTGAATTCCAGAATAGATGGATTCTTTGATATGAAATGATGTCATGGATATTCTGCTTTAAGTGGTCCACACATCTGAAAACATTAAAACAAAACACAGAAGGTAACTATTTGCAACGTCAAATAGTGATTATGAGCTCGGAGGCTGACCCCGACTTTCCCTTCTGCTGGCATTGTGACATCAGCAAGTCACGTCGCCCCTGTGCCTCAGCTTCCTCACCACGATGCGTGGGTGCTAACAGTGCTGTGGGCGAAGGGCTGTAGGAGAATCAAACGAGTTGAATACAAAGCACTTAGAACAGAGGCTGGCACAGTGAGCGTGAGGACTGCATTCACTGGCAGGCTGCAGTATTTCTTGTAGCGTTGCTATTCCTTTCAAGGTAGTAAGAGTCATTTTATTTGCAGATTCCCCAAGTATAATAAATCATCACACAGAGCTTTTCAGAAAATGCCTAAATTGGTGAGGATCCTGTTGAAATATCTAACAGGTGCCCAGGCAACAAGCTCTTGTGCACAGACTTCTGGGCAGGGCACTGAGGACACTGGAGGGGAAGCGAAGGGAATTGAGGGACTCACACTGGCCACACGCCTGCTCCATATCAGGTGTTCTGCATATAGAAGGTTTGTGAATTTAACAAAATCTACTTGTGCCCTGGCTGGTGTGGCTCAGTGGATTGAGTGTCAGCCTGCGAACCCAAGGGTCTCTGGTTTGATTTCCAGCCAGGGCACATGCCTGGGGTGTGGTCCAGGTCCCCGTGTGGCCCCAGCATCCTTTTAACATTCTCACCTGATCTATCGGGCAGTCTTGGGTGGCAGCCACCCAAGTACCCACCACTCTGTAAGGACCCCCGTGAGTGTGTGTGTGTGCACATGTGCACACCCACATGTGGCTGGTGCATTATGGGTTGTCAGGTGGGGAAAGCAGCCAGCAACCTTCAACTCATAAGTTGGAAGTATGTGGATGCTGGGGGTGGTGAGAGCCCAAGACTCTTAAAAAGCACAGATGCAGCATGGCTTTCAAAAGATGAATCTGAAGCAGGAGTTCCAGCCAAGATGGAGGCATCGATAGATACACTATTCTCACACAACCAAGAGGAGGATCACAACCAATCTAAAAACAATAAACGACCAGAAGTGCCAGAAAATCACACTGCATGGAACTCCAACAACCAAGAAATTAAAGAAACATTCAACGAGACTGGTAGGAGGAAGACAGGCAGCTGGGTGGGCAGAGAAGATCTGTGGCAAGGCAGACTGTGCGGCAAGTCAGGGATAGCTGCATGGAAAACTAAGACTCAAAGCTCGCTGTAAACTACTAAAGGGCTGCCATGGTGGGAGAAACTCCCAGTCTCACGAGAGTACATTGGAATGTGGGGCTAGAGCCCAGTAAGCGAGCCACATTGTTCCCTCTCTGACCCCTCCCCCACAGGCAGTGCCACAACACAGCGAAGAGGGTTGCCCTGCCCTGGAGAATGTGTAAGGCCCGCCCCCTTATGACATAACAGGTGCACAGAGACAAAGAAATAGGGCCCGAATGAAAGAACAAATCAAAAACCCAGGAAAAGCTAAGCAATGAGGAGATAGCCAACCTATCTGATGCAAGTTCAAAACTCTGGTAATC